CACTGCTAAATTAGGGACGGCTAGCGCAGATAGCCCTCGTGTAGCTTTGCGCGAAATTCAAAAACAAACAAACCCCCAAGTGGCACAGCGGTATGTCTGCGGACTTATACTGCTAGAAACCGAGTTTCGATACCTGTGGTGGGCAGAGCACAGATAGCCCTTTGGGTAGCGTTGTGCTTAATAACAAACAACATTTAAATTTCACTTTATTTTTGCATTTGTACTGAATGTTGCGCTATTAGATACTGAAATATGAAAACTGTTTCAGTTACGGTATCAACAAAATATTATTTCACAAGTTGATTTATTAAAATCTCACTTTGTGCAATCCATATCGTAATTAATAATAATATTTTGGACCGCGAAATTGTGCAAAGTGCATAATTAATACGAAATTGTCAGAATATTATTTATTGTTTAGCGCAATGAATTATATTTGCCGTACCCAACGCAAGGATTTAACCCTGAATTTTGGCGTTACGAAACTCAAGATTCCCGATGAACTACAGGGGACTACCAGAAAAATAATGGTGTTAACATTTTATATTGGTCATGTGACTACCATTATGAATTCTTTACTCTCTTTTTTTTCATCTCTAAAATGATACTATTTATGTAATTAAAAAAAGTTTCCCTTGAAATAATAAACGATTAATAATAATAATAATGTATAATATTTATATTGTGTTGTCCTAGCTCAGCGGTAAGTTTTACGGATTCCAACATTAAAATTCTGGTTTTCATACCCGCATTGGCTAGGGCATGGATAGCCCATCTTGTTGCTCTGTGCTTAATAACAAATAAGCTTTGTCCTCGTCTGTTATTCCTAAAATTAGAGTGTAGTACTTTTTTTGACAACATAATTATCCCAGAATCTATCTATCTATGTATTACTAAAACTCTGAGATTGTTTGCTTGTCTGTAATTAAACACAGCAAAAACGGCGCACAATAGCGTTATATTTGTAATGAAATTTTGAATTCTTGAATTATGAATAACACGAACGGATTGAAATATTTAATTAAATTATCTCAAAATAAACCTTCATTTTTGTGCAATATTGAAATTAGCTTGAAATCTTCATAACCTCTGAATAGTGGGTGACCCAACGAGTCACGGTGGCCTAGTATCGTATAAGGATATAGACTAAATCATATTGCGCAAAATAAGAATGATTGTCATCTGTTTCAGAACAAATAGCCTAAATTATAAAATAATGTACTCTTAATAAGTAGAAACGGGAATGTATTTGTTTTTAGAGCAAAACCACATTGGGCTATCTGCTGTGTCCACCGCGGGGAATCTAACCCCCGATTTTAGCGTTGCAAGTCCGTAGACTTACTGCTGTCCCACCGGGAAACGAATATGAATAAAAGGGGGATCTGCTTGCTTTTATCGTGATTTTACTCTTTGTACCAGAGGCAACTCATAGTCTTCCCTGATACTTCAACCCCCCCCCCCCAAAAGAAAAAGGCTTGCCTTACAATGAAAATTACATTTTATTTTGTTAATGGTCCACTGCCCATTTAATATTCTCTATACGT